AAAAAAGGCAGAAATATTCATTTTCAGCATTCATATTCATCATTGTACCACAGGTTCTAACCAGTTTAGTAGATCAAGAAAATGAAATAAATGCATCTAGATTGGAAGTAATACTATCTTTATTCACAGTTGACATAATCCTATATGTAGAAAATCCTAAAGAATCCACAAAAGAACTATTAAAATTTTTAAGCAAGTTTAGCAGGTATTGGGATATAAAGTCAATTATAAAAAAATAAATTCTACATGTTAACATTTAACAATTGGCATTTGAAATTTTAAAAATTAACATCTATAATATAACTACTTAGAGATAAATTTAATAAAATATACACAATACCCATACATTGAAAATTACAAAATGTTTCTGAGAGAAATTCAAGAAGATCTAAATAAATGATGACATCGTCCATAGTTATGGATCTGATAGCTTAACATTAAAATGTCAGCTCTCCCCAAATTGATGTGTAGATTCAACACAATCTCAGTCAAAAGCACAGTTGGCTGTCTTTTAAAAGAATTAAGTTGCAAGATTTACCCTACCATACTTCAAGGCTTACTCTAAAGCTACATATTCAAGACAGAGATTTATTCATAGAACAGAACAAAGAGTCAGTTTTGACAAGGGAATACTACGTAGCACTAAAAAGAAACAAACTACTGATATATGTAACAATGTGGCTATAACTCAAAAGCATTATCCTAACTGAAAGTAGCCATGCACACAAGGACCAAACACTGTTTATTTATATTTATATGAAGTTTCAGAAAAAGCAAAGCTGTCATAACAGAAAGCAGCTCAGTATTTGCCTGGGCTCATGGATAGGAGAGACAGAATTGACTGCAAAGGGCATGAGGGAACTTTCTAGGCTGATAGAAATGTCCTGTATCTTGATTGCATTGCTAGTCATACCACTGGAGACATTTTTCAAAACTCATGGAATTAAAACTCATGGAATTAATCCACTTACAATTGGTGAATTTTACTGTATATGAATTATACTTGGATAAAGCTGACAAAAAGCAAAGATTTGACAAAAATCCAGTGAAGATTCAAAAATAATAAAGAATAGGAATTAATAAAATAGAAAAAAATAATAGATCCATATCTTTGATAAAACTAACAATATGGATAGACCTCTAGTGGGACTCATCAAGTAGAGGAAAGGAAAGGCACACTAAAAATATTAAGGCAAAAGAGACCTGAGCTACAGATAAGGCCAATTGAATGCCATGAACACAAAAGAGGTCAAGCCCTGTCTGTCAGTAGTAGGGTAAGGCAGCTCAGTCATACAATTTACTCCTGTCCTGAAGTTAAAATGCATGAACTGAATCTACATATATCTAAAAACAGTGAAAACATAACTTTGAAGTAAAAGAACAAGTTGCAAAAGGACATACGCAATGGAATATTAAAGAAACGATAGTATATATTGCTTATGCATGCATACATACATAGAAAAAAAAATTAAATACATAAGAATTAGAATGCCAATTTACCAACTTTCCTTTGGGAGGAAAGAAATGTGATGGCATGGTAGGGTGGTACAAAAGGGGACTTTGGTTATAGCTTTAATGTTTTATTTAATTCTTATCACAAAAAGTTGACAAAGAGACAAAGACAGCTGAAGGCAAAGAAAGCAAAATATTATCTTTTAGGCAATATAGTGAGTAGGTAGGTGTCTGTTATATCATTTTCTGTAGGTGTCTATTATATTATCTTCTACACTTTTGGTATGTTTTAAATGTTAGATAATTTAAAATAATTTGAGGGTTGATTATAGCCAGCCATTATTATAAACTTCATACACATAGTGTATCCTACAGTGATCATATTCCTGAATAATCTCACAATTGACATAGATACTAGGTTCATGGACAAGAGTCAATACGCTCAGAGATATTAACAAATTGAGAATTATACCAGTAGATTCTTAGTTTTAATTCTTTGCTGATTCCTGGAGGAGGCCAGAGTTAACACGAGTGCCCACTAGATAATTTCAACATGTCACTGAATGGCACCTGTTAAATTCCATATCATGATTAATTATTGCTAAGGGTGAGTGAGTGCCCTATGATTTCGTTCTTGCAAATGAGGTCAGAGAAATGTCTGTGCTTAGAAAAGAGTTGATGCAATGAAAATCTAGCCAGGAATAAACTGTACCATGTCCTTCCTTTATCTCAACACTTATCACTTTGAATCATAATTGCCTGTCTGCCTGCATGCTTGGCACACAGTAGGCACACAATAAATAATTGTTCACAGACTGACTAGTCTCCAGGAAACTAAATTCCGTGAGTGGAGGAATCGTGTCTACTTATCCCCAACTCCTAATATGGCAGACCTTGCATGAAGTGGGCAGCAGAATTTATTGAATGAGTGAAAAGGAAGCTAAAGCTTCTACTTCCTAAAAATTCCCTAGATCTTCAATGAAAAGGATCTCTTCTCAAATTTCTATCTCCTCCTAGAATGTTTATCTTTTCTTATAGTTACTTGTGTTTATGTGTCAATTCCATTAACACAGTTTATTACCTTTTAAATTTCTTGAAAGGAGGGACTATTTCCTTTTTGTAACTTATTATACAGTTATGGAAAGTGGGAAGAAAGAAAAAATACCTTAAACCTGAAATGAATTCACTTAAACACTCTTCTAAGTTCAGCAGAATCATACGGACCTTGAAGTATGCAACTTCCAGCCATTTAAAATGAATTTCACTAACAATGTATCAAGTTATTTAGTAGCAAAAGAATGGACTATAATGTGCCATGCCATGAGGCCTAAAGGCTAGTGTTCCTTGTTTACTCAGCTCTTTCCTGTTAAACACTATTGAACAAAGACAGCTGCCGAACATTTTCTAGGTCATTTGTTCTGTTTGTAAACTGGAAGTGTAGGATATTTAACAACTTGTCATCATTTGCAATCTAGATTTATGCAGAATGAAAGAATTAAAAATAAAAAAGAGAGGAGGGGAATGAATGCAAGTCTGAAGTTACTTAATGACCCCACTAATTGAGAGAGCAAGCGTTAGAGAAATTAAACAGAAGAGGTAATGACCATAGAGCCATTATCCCATTGTGGGAGTACTGCTAATGTTTACCAGGTGATTTTCTTTTACACTGAGAGCTGAGAGTCAGTCTACTTCAACACAATGGCTCTTCTTGAATCTGGCCAATCACTAGAATCACTTGGAAAGTTTTGGACATGAAGCCCTAGATCCTCTTCGTATTTTCTTAATCAGAATCTTCAGGGTGGGACCCAGGCATATGGATTTTAAAAGCAGGCCAGGTGATTCTTTTGATTTTTTTGATAAAAAGCTGGCCAGGTTTAGACATCACTGCTTTAGAATAGGGTTTCTCAACCTTTGCACTGTTGACATTTTGAGATGGATAATTATTGTTGACATTGTCCTGTGTGTTGTAGGATGTTTTGCAGCATCTCTGGCCTCTACTCAGTAAAAGACAGTAGCACCCTCCATTCCCCAAGCTATAAAAAAAATCAAAGTATCTTAAGACATTGCCAGATTCCTCTGAGGGGTACAATCCCCAACAGATGAGAACCACTGCTTTCATGCATTTTAGCAACCCTGCCTGATAGAACTTGCGGTAATGAGGGAAATAGTCTCCATCTGCACTGTCTGATATTAGAGCCACAAACAACATGTGGCTATTGAGCACTTGAAATGTGGCTAGTGTGACTTGGAACTGAATTTTAACTTTTATTTAATTTCAATTAATTTAATTTTAGAAGCCACATATGACTAGCAACCATTATATTGGACAGTACAGCTTTACAAGATCCAGACCTAACTATAGGCAGTTGAAGCCATACAATTTCCCCCTAAATGCTTCTGACACCTGCCATGTACAAATAATTTATGAGAATAAAAAATCTACCTATCTTCCTGTCTGAATCAGAAAAAAATCTTAGGAAGTTGTAATGAAAGAGAAGTTTACTTGCAGTTTTATTTTCTGCTCAGGAAATATTTCTGTTGCCACCCTTGATATCTAGATTATCCAGTCTGGCTGGAAACAGACCCTTTCAGTACTGACTATGATCTCTGTTCACTATCTTTAACATTTTCCTGGGAAAAGTTCTTATTGTTGTCTGTTTTCTCTCAATTCTTAACAGTTTAAATATACAATCACCAAATGACCCAGCAATTTCCCTCCAAGGTATATATATTCAAAAGAATTGAAAACATATATCCACACAAACAAGTGTACAGAAATGTTCATGACAGCATTATTCATAATATCCAAAAAGTGGAAATAACCCAAATGCCCATTAACCAATGAATGAATAAACAAAACGTGGTCTATCTATAGAATGGAAAATTATTTGGCAAGAATAAAGAATGAACTACTGATATATGCTATAATGCAGATGAACCTTAAATATAGTATACTAATTGAAAGATGCCAGTCACAAAATACCACATATTACATGATTCCATTTATATACAATGTCCAGAATAGGGGAAAATCTATAGAGGTAGAAAGTAGGTTGATGATTGCCCAGGGCTTGGGTGAATGGGGAAATTTGGTGGTAAAGGCTATTGGGTACAGGGTTTCTTTTGAGTGTAAGAAAAAATGTTCTAAAATTAGATTGTGGTGATACTTCCACAATTCTGTGATCATATTAAAAGCCATTGCATTGTGTGCTTTGATTGAAGGAATTGTATAGTAAATGAATTATATCTCAATAAAGCAGTTAAAAAAATCTTTCAGTATAATCTATCACATTAGCAGATCTGCATGATCATATCAATTGGTGCGTAATATTTATTTTTGAACTGGAAGTGGCATTTGTAAATGTTATTCTGAAATACTCTCTCCACTGGCTACCACTATCTTCATTTCTTGGGTAACTCAAGTAACTCTGCACTGTGCCCAAACTTGGGCTGAAAATCCATGATTGTGGCCCTTACTCAACAACAAATCATTCCACTCTAAGGGACCCAGGGTACATAAGGGACCCAGGGTAGGCCAGGGTACATACGTGTGTGGAAGATACCCTTGGAATAATCTCCGCCTGTAACTGAAAATGTCCATCCTTGGAAATCCAGAGTTCTTTCAGCCTCTCCAGTCCAGAGGAATAAGGGACACATGAACACTGCCAATAAAAAATAAAAAGATAAGATGCAGCCAACATCCAGGCTGATTTTAGCACAAGTCAGGCTGGCCAAACCCTGTTCTGGATGTAAAGCACTAAGCCGTGGAAAATAAACAACGTGGTCAGAGCCTGAGGAAATGACATTCACTTTTAAGGTCTTGAGTTTTCCATGCAGCCCCAGATACAGCCCATTGTCCAACTTTAAGCTCACTCAACTCAGACAACTTTACAGGAAATGAATACAATTCTGGGTTTTTAGTTATTACAAAGTGAGATCTCATACTGAAAATAACTGTTGGGCTCATGCTGCTTGAGCACTGACTGTTCGGAAGACCTTGAAATATGCAGAAGGCAGGGAAGGGGAAATGGCAAATAGCAAGCGAAGTAAAATCTTGCATAATGTCAACCAAAAAAAAAAAAATATCTAAAGCAATTACACTTTTATCCTCCAGAAGAAATAATGTCATGTGAAGCCAAACTGTTTAAGTGGTTAGATGGAAATCTGTTATGAAATTATATGAAGAGAAGTAGGGGCTCAGTTTGAAAGACACGAAAGAACTGATTTGTTAAGGAAAAATTTGTAGGGAGGAATATTAATTCAGCAGACAAGGCCCATAGGTTAAAAACCAATGACACTGGCCTGTGTCTTAGCATTAACACATTTCTGACCTTCCTTCCAGTCATTGAGGGTGCTGATGGCTGCATAGAGCTGATAAGAGCTAAGTCTGTTGGAATAGTTCTGGAAAGAGTTTGATTTATTTGGAAAAACAAGTGTCATCCTCAAGACAAAATGTATCAACTGTACTCTGCCTTTCTTACATCTAAATATAGTGGCACACTATATACCCACACTGGATTGGGTACTCCCTCTTCTATGTTCTGACAGCACCCTGGACATGCCCTGAGAATAGTACTAAATATATTTTTTAATTGTTTTTTTTTAAGAGACAGAGTCTCACTATGTTACTCAGGCTGGACTCAAAGTCCTAGGCTCAAGCAACCCTCTCACCTCACCCTCCAACATAGCTGAGACTACAGTTATGTGTCAACATGCCTAGCAAAAAGTATTATTTTTTAATATTGTCAGTTTTTATCTACTTCTACTAGACAGTGAACTTCTTGAGAACTGAGATTTATTGCTGGCATTCATATGGTTTTCAGTTATCAAGGGCCTCTTATCAGAGTTTGTAGGCAAGCATAGTTTCCCATCTCTGGTCGGTAGAGTTTCATTTTCAGGTGTTCCCTAGGCCATTTGGCTCCCCTTGAGATTAGGTAATGCAGAGGTTGACATCATACCTGGATTCTGCCAAAAGACCTTGTGATAAATCAGTCTGCACCATAATACTGAGTTTTTATTTGAGCTGAGCTCCAAAATGGACGCTGTATGCAAAACTGCTCACTAGAGTGGGTTTAGGATCATTATTTTGGCTTCAGGTCAAATGTTTTTCAGGTGGTAATGTCACATGGCCTTCAGACATTTGAAATGCACTCCCTCAGGTGTGTACTCTGGTGAACTCTATCTGTTATTCTACCCATGTTTATGTGAGATGCTAAAGAAACAAATTGCTCAGTGACACCAATAGGCCTGAAAGAATTCATGCCCCTTCCCTGTTGGCCGTCTAATGGGAGGTATACCTGGGGGACAGAGTAATTCACACACTGAATATTTGGATTTATATCTCAAATCATGTACCCAAATCCCAAATATGGAATCCCAAATTTTATGATGTTCCTTGCATGTTCCATATCCCAAGACCTAATCCCAGATCTTGTCCTCTTTTTTTGTTTGTTTGTTTGTTTTTTTTTTAACCCATTCTCTTTCTCTGAGTAGAACTTTTCAATTTTACATTATAACGCATCCTCTGGACAAAAAGCATGTTTTCATCAAACCTTTGGGTATGACCTTTCCATTTACACCAACTAAGTAAATGTTACAAGCGACACAGTTTTTTGTTTTTTTTTTTCTGAACTGTCTGTGTCAGTGCTAACTATCTCAGTTTGAACAAAAAGGAGCAATAAATAAAGCCCTTAGGTGTACCCCCAAGGCAGAGCCAGCCTGTCTGAGCCAGTCATTATCTCCAGAGCTGTAAGAAGTCCTTTTGGCACCTTGCTCCTCCTGTCCCTGCTCCCTAGACCTCTGGGATTAGAGAGCGGTGGAAAGACATGCACTGTTCTTTATTTCCGTGAACACACACAGATGGACTTTGGATTGGAGAATCTGTATTTGTCGAAACCTTTGGCCAGAGTTATAAATCCATGTGCTGCGTGGCAGGGATGTCTCTGACTCTGGAGCAAAGAACAAAGAGCATTTAACTTAGTCACACTGAGGAAAACACCAAAGACACAGAAAGCATAGGAATGTTGACACTGTCCACCCCTGTCCTGGAGGAGCATCCTCCCTTCCCTTTGGGCTCCTCAAGTAGAGGTTTCTTGGAGAGTTATAGCTCCAAATCTGGGGCTTTAAACAATGAAACTCATAACAAAATCATCCCCCAGGCCCTTCAAATTCACTTTCAATGATGAAAAGTTTAGATTTTTCATGGAGTCATAAAACCTCAAGGTAGCCCACAACCTGGTGTTTCACCTCATTGTCTTAGAAGCTGATTGAGTGAAGATACCATGTCACAGAGCCCAACAATTCCCACCACACCTGGAAAAATTCTTCAAAACATCTTTTCTGATTCACAAATATGTTTTCATTCTAGAATATTTTTTAAAGGTATAGAAGTATTAGAAAAAATTTTTCATATTCTACAACATTTTGGTCACCATGCTCTGTTGTGATTAAAAGATAACATGTTAAATCTTACAGAACAAAAAAGAAAAAAAATGTGGATTTCTACTTTTGATTTTTAAATCCTGAAATTTATAATTGATTACATAAAACATCAAAGCATACTTGGGCAGGGACCTTGTTCGAGACGGGTGGTATATTATGAGAGGGTGTCAAAATTGTGAAATCAAACCAGCTCCATGGGAGTGTACACGGCACGACAGCTTCTGTTAAGTGCTGGTAGTGCCAAGAAATTCCTTTACTCCTAATTGGCCAAATCCTGTTATCGTCACTTGCAGGGCAAGCCCACAGTCAGTGGAGGGGTTCCAGAAGCGCCTGATATCACCACTGAGTTCTTATCACAGACACTGAAATTCAAGCAATTAAAATTGAGAGAAAGCTATTGAGTAGTGAAAACAGAAGAACGATTGAGACTTCTGGACTTTGTTGACCCTGCACAGATTAGGATCAGACAGAAGTCTCCCGCTGCCCTGCAGAAGGAAAGAGGTAGATCTTTGAAGGGTGGTTTCTCACAACCTGTGAAGTCATCTGGGGGTTAGAAGGGAGTTCTGGGAAGAATGAGAATCAAATAAGTGCCAAGCTAGGTTCTGTTGACCTTAACTACATGTATTTATTGAGAGGATACCTGGTCTGGAATGACGTTAAGTCATTGTGTAAGTTTTTTAGGGCCCAATGGCCACCTAAAGACAGGTCTACTTACAAATGCTGGCTCTCTCAGTCTGAGATCACTGCGTACACCCCTGCCCTTTTTACTTTTATTTCCATTGTATTCTTCAATTTGTAACTCTGAAATTTAAAAGAAAAATAATGGGCACTTCTGCTGACTTCAGTTTCATCGTGGGCACAATGATGGGTTGGCGCTGCAACTACTCGTTTTCCACACGCTGCTGTCCTCATTTTATCCCACACATTGCACACAGACTTCAATTTCCTACACTCTCAACAGCTACTTTCTACCATCATTCCTTCTCATTTAAACTCATCGATCAAACTCGCATACCACATTCACTTACTATACCTAGTATCCTGTATGTCACTTCACAGTTGAAAAATATTTTGATGGCATTATAATTTTTAATCTTTATATAATATTTGTTTAAGTATAGCATTCTTAGCTACATTACAAAAGAGAGAAAATGAAAGTTAAGAGATGTTATATCACTGTGCCAAGATCACAGAGTAAATACGTGGAAAAGTCAAAACCATAATTTCACCCTGATTTCTTTTATTAAATATTACTTGGAGAATTAAGCAATCTGTGTTCTTTGAGATTCTCCCTGCATATTTTGTTCACTCTGAATTAAGGCAAGGGCAGCTCACACACTGAGAAAAGCTTCCAGAAAAGGAGACCCACTGTTCTCCCCAAATGTCGCCCCGAGATATCAAAGAAAATAAATGCGCTTAAATAAGTACGCGAAGATTTAACGTTACGATATTAACTGGGTGGCTGGTGTCGGTGCAACTTTTGAAAGGAATTACAAAAGGACACTTTGAAATAGTCAAGTCTTGAAAAACGCTATAGGTTTAGATTTCACAGCATATGTCTGAAAGGCCACAGAAAGTAATTTAATGAATCTCTGATAACATTATTGTTAAAGCGAGGTATACACTGGATGAGCACCCATACTTTCTCTCCAGTTCATCTTGATTCTATAACATGGATTCAACAAACACTGCGCTCTGGCGGACATCACCCTCGCCACGTAAGTTGTTCTTTGGGGTTTGAGGATCGGATCTGTTTTCTTTGAGCCCTCAACATTTCAATCTCTGGGAGACAATTCAGGCTACAAATTCAGTTAAATTTATATAATCCATTCCATCAACATCACAGAGACAACTCAACCACCACACAACGAGCAGGAGAGCCTCGGGGAGAGGGCAGAGATGACGCGACTACACACCTGGGGTCCTGAGCACTCTTCTGGGCAGATTAACTTTCTATGCCATTTCGCTGAGCTGGTTTCATTCTGGCTCTCTTGGAGATCTGAAGGCAGTTGTTTAACTGAGATGTAAAGGCGCGGCCGCTTCCAGTGTCCAATACCTTTATGGGTTGTCGTGGCTGGAGTATGACAAGCTGGGACAAGATAGCTGATTTAGACACGGCAAGCCTAGAAAGAAAACATACGCTGATGGGAAATAAATTGTGTGGCGTATTTAATTCTGATGGCTGCGACCATTAACGCATCTGCGTAGAGGCAATCTGAAGACAATGTAGCTGTCTATGTGATTGCAGCTCCTGCTGGGCAGTTGCGCTC